CTCTCTCTCTCTCTCTCTCTCTCTCTCTCTCTCTCTCTCTCTCTCTCTCTCTCTCTCTCTCTGCTCTCTTCGTAGCACGTTTTGCTCTTTATTTCCTCTTATTTTAAAAATATATATAATTATGATTCAGAATAGAATATACAGAAGAATATACAGAAATGTATATGTGTATATGTACAAAATAAAAAAGTAATTATAACTGTATTATAAATTATAAAGTGTAGATTCCAATTGAAAACTTAAATATCCGAACATCGGAAAATGGCCGATAACGGCGCTTTATATGATCGCAAACTTTATATGCAGAATGAAAAAACGGATTGTGTATCTACATACAGAGAAAAAAATGTACTAAATTTTAATAAATATTTGTTTATGTGTCAATCGAATATTTATTAAATGTAAGTATATTTATTTTATACAAAAATCAATTATTAATTTAATTATATTTTTTTATTTGACAAATATATTTATTTTCCGCAAATAAATGTTATATTATATTAATATTGTTTAAACAATGAATTATTAAAATTTAGTATTTTTTCCTTTCATTGCAAATTTGTTACTAAACTTTTTTTTTTATTTTTCTCTAACGTTTATTTAATTATACATTCAATTTTAAATACATTCTGCAAAAAATAGTATTAACTTTAATCTTAATTTAACTTAATTTTCATGTTCTACTCTTCTAGTTTGAGAATTAAAAAAGGATAAAGAGTAAATTAAAGAGTAGATTAAAGTTAAGAATCGTGATCGTAATCTGTATAAATAATTGACCAATTACAGTCGAATGAGAGAGGACTCATCGATTATGATTGGTCAATTTTCACAGATTATAATCAGTATAAATGATCCTTTAATTTACATTGGTAGAAATAGAGCTTAGAAAAAATAAAGAAAAAGAATAAGTAAACTGAAATTAAATAAATTACATTGATGAAAAATCATTAATCGATAATTCATATTCGAATTATGTGTATAAACATATAGTGTTTTTATTTTTCTTCTGCGTATCCAATAAATGATATATTATAATGCAAAGAAAGATTAAATTTATTCAAGTCTGATTAAAACCTTTTTTCTCTTTTTAAAACAGGACGTGGTGATGTTCAAAACAGTTTGAACGCACGATCTATATTCGTTGCACTTTATGGACGAAACTGTTTCAATTTTAGCGGGATTTCCTTTGGTTGATAAATAATGACAGCCTTCAATTGGTTTGTTCTTTTTAACTGTACTTTTGCACTGTTTATTCTACTTCCTTTTCTCTCCAACGGGGAGAGAAAAAAAGGAAAGATGAACGATTCGAGAAGTTTAGTGGAAAGGACATATCTTCCATTTCTTAAAACAAAGAGGCGTTTACCAGGGCGGTATTTCATAGTATCAGCAAGTATTAAGTACCAACAGAATTAAGAGTAGTGGAAGCCGCTAATCGAAAATTTGTGTTCTAGAAGGCAGAAGATCGTTATTCGGAATTAATTCGAAAAGTATCTCTAACAAGATTCGACTTCTGTTTGTTTATTGTTAGAAAGCAAAGCTAAAAAAACATGGAACGATTGAGTCACGTTTTATCACGTTATCACGTTAAATTTATAGATATTGCTTTTATCGGAATATTATTCTATACGGGAGTCGCGAAAGCAACAGGTCAAGATGAGATAACACCGACAATATTTCTATTGGACAACGAGACACACAGTATATAATATATACATTTCAGTAATATCTTCCCAGCAAACGAGAATGGATTAAAATGGATTGAAATTTTTTTCTATCCGAATGCGTATTTTAAATAGCGAATACTTTTTTTTGGATTTAATTGGATTCAATTGAATTCAATTAGATTCAATTGGTTGCAATTGGATTGAAAAACTGCATTTCCTATTCAAAATTTTGAATTAAACAGTATTCACAATGTGTGTGTTTTGCACAGAAAAAATTAATATTATTTTTTGATTGGAAGGCAAGAGATATGTTCCATGCAATTCCTATAAAATAAATGAATAAAAATGCATTCAGGATTGAAAAGCATTTATTTTAACATTCGTGAATCAATATTTCTGAAAATCTGAATTCATTTCAATTCATTCTCGTTTGCTGGGTTGGAATATTTTTAATTATACATTAATTAAAATTTGTTTAATCCAATTTTACTATATTTAATGTGAAACCTTGTGTATATGTATAAATTCAGTAGAATATTTAAACACTAAAATTGCTTTGGATTTGCAAAAAGTAAAATTTCTCTTATTTAATTTATTTTCATAATTGGTTTATTTAAAAATTTATAAATTATGCAAAAATTCCTTGCTAGTTAATGTTTATAAAATGTATAAAAATATTTATAAAGTATTTATAAAATTTATAGCTAAAGGCTAAATAATTTTTATTTTCTAGATGAATATATTATGAGAATGTACGATAATGGTTGCAAATGCATTGAATATAATTGTGGTTGCTGTCAACATTTACAGTGGGATGTAATCTCTATGGACGGAAAGTGTAAGTACATAATTATTTGTAGTCTTATTATTACAATTATTTAATATCATTATATTCTGTTTTGATGCTATATTTCTATATATTATAGTATGCGCAAATACAAGTTATTTAGAAAAGGACTATGGGTTTTCACT